TGTGTCATCGTGCTCATGTAAAAATGAGTCGGATAACTCTTGTCGCTGTTTTGACACTAGAAATCGGACTTCCAGATTTTTAGTTAATTAGCTAAAACTATCATATGACTCCATTGGCATGAGACAACAATTAGCAAAAGCTTTTTCAACAAAATTCATTTATACATTAATTTTAATATCAATCAAAAAAAATTCTTATGTTTTTATTTTAATGATAATATAAGGAAAAATAATATGCTTAAAATCGATGTGTTAATAATTTTCGTAATTTTCTAATTGTTTATCTGTAATATTTTTTTTTAACACGTCATTATATCTTACGCAATTTAATTTCCATTTCATTTGCTTTTGTATTCAAGAATTTCCTGCATAAACGATTTGATTCAAATAATCGCGAAAACATCCGCTGGAATTGAGGACGTTCATTCATTGATCGCTTCAATATTAAGAGCTAATTTCTAATCACTAAGCACAAATGATACATTTTTTATACAATTTTGCAAAAAAATATTCGGATTATGGCTTGAAAATTATAGCTCATTTCTGTTGACTAGTTGACTTGTTGGCATATTATTATATATACTTTTCTCATCGTGTTACCCTTAATTCGATATCCGGTGACGCATATTGTTGGTTTCCTGTAGTGAAGTACTAACGCTTTCCATGCTTATCGTGGAAAAATTTCTGGAAGTTGGCTGACGCACGGCGGTTTGCTGCAGATACATAGCGTGTACTGTCGACACTGTAGAAATAAGGTGATGGCTCTACAACTAGAACTAGTTGCTAGTGTCAATATTAACAACCCCCTGTTGAACTTCTACCTTATCTATCTACCTTATCCATAGATAACATAGACAACGAGACATCAGTCTTTACTTTTCCATAGACCGATATGACGCTATCATTTCGATTAAAATGCGCAAGTCTCCTTTTGGAATGCATTTGCTTTTTATATCATTACATCGATATTTAAATAATTTAAAATTTTTAGTCATTCCTTTCCGTATTTATCTTAAATACGACTCGTGAATCATATCAAATATTTAAAAAATCGATTCTACATCTTGAATTCTTCTCAAATCTTGTTCGTTTTTTTGTTTTTAATTGATCATTTTTTTATTTTAAAATTATATATGACATAACACAATGTAATATAACGAATGTAATATAATATATTATATACAATGTAATATAATAATATAAGGAATATATTTATATGTTTCTATCTTTAACTGTAACAGTAAACAATTTTTTTATTAATTTATTATCATTTTTCTAATAAATCTTTTTATTATATTGTAATCATTCAGTTGAACAGTATAATAATGAAGGAGGTTTTCCTCATGAAATCGCACTTACGACAATTAGATATCGTGTGTGGCGCCTCGGCCGACATCATATACATGTGCGTGCGTCACGCACACGCAGGCGTAACTAGAAAGCGACGCGACGCACGTGTCACGTGGTCGCGCAGGTACCCTACCTATACGCGATCCCCTCACGTCGAATCGTGCAATGACGTGCCCTCCCACCCTCCGACACATAAACGAGTTTGAAGATGGTTTTAGATGGTATGATTCTCAAATGATATCGCATTTTAGATCGATGTCCTTCTGTTTTTGCTGATAATCGAGATAAAATTCCTTGAAATAAATATAGAGACTTATCAGGCAAATATATCTAAAACATCATCAGTCTTTAAATTTATTAGTGATTTGCTATTTAAATTTTTTAAACAGATCAAAAAATATTGTATGATTTTATGAGTTACATATAAAAGAAAGGGGTCAACTGATAACAGCAACTCTAGAAGTGCTTCAACAACTTACAAGTTGCATATAATTGATTGCCGAGCAACTGACAGAATGTATCTCTCGTTAAACTTTTTTTCTTTCCGTCATTATTTACATTGATATACTGGTTTAATGTATCGACGGATAAGATAAGAAATTTTTAAATTCTACCTTGAAGATAGAGAGAAAAATAGAGATATTTTATTACGATTTTCATCATTTTGTATATGATGCATCAGTCCTGATTAGAAATCCTGACAAAAAAATGAGGGATCCCATTGCAAGGACTTTCTGGATTTTAATATGTGAACGCCCTTGACCAGCGATTTCCACACAGCGATTTTTCTCGTGTGTGCCTGTATATGAAGTCACGCCGCTGGCACTTTCCCTTTTCAAGATCGATTTTGGCGCCGTGCGTCCAGACGGCGCAAGTCGACGACGTCGACGGTTCTTCAGGCAGGGCTGTATTTATACATAACCGTCCAATTTTCTCCCCTTGTTTCACTTTTTGGTGAGACATCGGTGGGCACGCATTACCCTTTCATTTCGAACAATCTCGAGAAATTTTCTCCAACTTTAGAGGACTCTTGATCTTAATCGAAATCGGCACAGAGCCGCTAATTGTTCAGCAATATAATGCTATTGTTCAAAAATAGAGAGATTCCTCTATTTCTTTCGTAAAAGTATCCATGTACATCGCATTAGTGACACTAACAAAATTTTCGATCAATTTGTCCATGCTTTCTATTTATTCCTCATTCCTACCCTCTCCCCTTTCTCTTCAGTACCTCGATCACCATGCTCGCTTCATCGACTTGTTAAATGACAAAAAAATACGAGGACAGCGAGAGAGAGTGGGATGGACGGAAGAAAAAGAGTACTCAAAAAAAGGTGTCTTAGGCTAGGACATCAAAAGCTCTTCCACGGGGGTGATCCGCTGCGATTCATCCCTGTCCGCAAAGACTCTCTTTCTCTCTCCCTCCCTCTCTCTCTCTCTCTCTCTCTCTCGGTTTCTCCTCACCCCTCTTTCTCCCTTGCCTCGCGAAAACCCACCGCCTTTCGTTAAAGGTGACCCGACGAAATCGCCAACGAGCCACACGTGCGTGCAAAAGGGTTGAAGAGAGGGAGAGGGCAGTTGGGAAGGGAAAGAGGAGAGAGACAGGAGGAGTCCTCCAGCGGGTGATAGGCCGCGGATACCACGAGGCAGACAGTGCACGCACTCTTCGCGCTATGTCATGGATACCGCCGAAAATCCCCTAAAGGGAAGTACGCGAAACAAAGGCCAATCCCCTTCCACCCTTGTATTGCTTGCCATCCGTCGTACCTCTTCCGTACTCCTCTTCCTCCTCGCGTGCACGAATGCCCGCGTGTTTAATGCATCCTTGTCTATTTTACCCTTGCCTCTTCTTATTCCTCAATTTTAATATATGCTTAATTTATTGTTGATTTTCATATATACTTTCCTCAGTTGAAATATAGTTTAATAAATTACTTAATGTAAATACTAATGTAAATACTAATGTACATCTGAAAGATTTATATCATCAGAAATTTAATTGTTATTAAGAAAAACCTCAAATATATACAATTTTATTTGTGATTAAAATGAAAATGATTTTCTAAGTATTTTATTTTCTAAGATTTTTATGCTTTTCTAAAGAAATAGAGAGAATATTTTATTCTTGAGATCTTCATGTTCATTTATACATTTAATCATAGACATATGAATGAACTAATATTTTGCATTACAGTTTTTCTTATCGCTGCATTTTTATCTGACAAAGTTGCATGCATTTTCTTTTAAGCGTTATTACGTGAATAGAAATCGACATTATAGCATTATCGTTGCTGATTAAATAAATTCACGATAAGCAGTTACTCATGAATTCAACGTGAATTGCAACATTAATACGGAATGATCCCTCGTTGTAAGTGCATCGCGACTCAACAACTGCATTCTTGCGTATATCGAGCACATTTCGCTTTCTCTATAAATTATTTTTACAATACATGAAGAGAAAAGCGTCTAATCTATTAAATATATCTCAAGAAGCAAATATTATTAGAATTATTATTTTTAATAAATAATTTTAAAATTATTGAAATTTATAAATTAATTGTTTTTATAAATTAATTGTATTTTTAGAAATATATAATTACAAATTTTCTATAAATTAATCTCGAGTTTTAATTAACATATGTTTATTTTTGATAGGCATGTCTAATATCTTAATACGATATAATACGATACAATATTTATTAAAACAGCTATAAGTGTGATAATTTTTTTATGTAGAAATTTTTAAATAATAAAATATTCGAAAGTACGATATCTACTGACCAATTTTGAAAGAATTTTAATTTTAACTTGATGATATTTCCAGACAGCTGGATTCGTGATCTAACTGGTCAGAAACATGTTCATAGCTAATCTAGGTTGCACAAGGTTGATCATTCGCAGTCTTATCTCACGCAAGTGCGATAGAGTTTATCCTCGAACTCGAGTAGATCCTACAGGGTCATTCGCCGTGTCTTCTTCAAGGTTGCTCGAAAGCCGCGGCATCGTCGATGAGTGGGTCGGTCCGCTGAAAAATCGATACGTACGAAAGTGAGAGCGCTCCCTCGGTTGTTCCACCCTCCTTTTTGTTCTTCATGCTTCGCGTACTCTTCTTACTTGCCGTTTGGTTCATTCATGTTGTCGTGGCGGCCGCGCCGATACACCTAAACGCGCAAGCACAGTTTACGCTCGTGCAAACCCGAACAAAGTACGCAAAGCCGGTCAAAATGAAATTTCAAGCGCGTTAACGGCATGCGATTTCAAACGCATTTTGCGCAAAAATATTTATTTCAATACATTATCCAAGGTCTTCAAAAGATTTATCCTTTTTATAGAATCCTAAATTGTCAGACATAACACACATCTGACATACTAAAATCCGTAATGATGTACTGAACGGAAGAAGACCCTTCGTGAAATTGTGACAAATTGAAGTTTTTTAAATTAAATATTAAGATATTTAAAATAATTATAAATAAAATGTCTCTCTCACGAGCTATCATTAACATGTGTTCAATAAAATTTTCTCAATTTGCAATTAATTTGGTATCTTATCATTATTTGATATCATTCAATGTTTTAAAACGATTTTTTTTTCGTGTTTAGGAATGTACAACATCAAATCAGCAAATTTGAGTGTGACTTCTCCTTAGACATGCAAAGGAAAAAATTTTAATGCTTGTATTGCTAAAGAGGACTCCAAAGTGAGTCGAAACATTCAAAGAATTATTGGAATAAAAGTTCAAGATTAAACTTTGCGTACTAATTATCACTGACTCTTAATCGCCTGGTTTTGCATTCTTTTTTTTTCTTTTTTTTATATAAATAAGAAGATTACAATTTCTAATCGAATTTCAAATTTAACTTTTCCAAATCTTATCGGATTATCTTTTTAATATTGCAAATTATAATATAATGTCTACATATTACAATATAATATGATAATACATATACAATATTACAACATAATATAATATTGAAAATTATTCTGTATTGTTTCACAAACAATTGTCAAGGAAGCTTTTTTAAACAATAAAAAACCAAAGAAAGATAAAGGTCCGACAATGTAAAATTAAACTAAGCATCCTCGTTGTTTACATATTTGAAGTTTAAAGAGACAATATCCGCTCTCTGTAGGATTTCTGAAAAAAAAAAATTGTGTTTAATTTTTACTTAACGCATGAAGTTTTATTTATTTACTTAGCATGCATTTTTTCCTTAATTGTTGTTAAATATATAATATTTGTATATTGTAATTCTGTAATTTGCATATAATAATTAGTTTTATAATTTATAAAACAATTTGATAAATTTGATATTAATATTATTAAGAGACATATCACAGATATATCTCGTTATATTGTAAGACAACAATGTCGCTATGTAATGTAAACAACTGATGACTCCCCGTCAGAGGGGAATGTTATAACTCGGCTTTCAAAGTTTATTACCGATTACCCTTGGAATCTTGCTTGCTGCCGTGTAATTCTGTCAGAGTCTCGTTCAAATCTGGCACTTTATGGCCGCTCTCTTTCTTCGCTTACAATCTCTACTCACTCAAGAATTGGAATACGTAAAAGAGATACGCAAGATGATGTGGTATTGGAATATCTTTTACATTTGTTATACGCTGTTAATGATATTAAAATCATGTTATTAGACAATAATTAAGAACAAGTGTGCGCGCGCGCGCGCGCGCGTGTGTGTGTGTGTGTGTGTGTGTTTGTGTGTGTTAATATAAAATATCATTTACCTCTCTTTACTTCTTCATGTTCGCTTAATATGTCGCTTAATATGTCCCGTATTATTTTCTATTTCCAGCAGCAGCGGAGTTGCTAAAGTCCTCGTAAGCAATCTACCGGCTCAAATACGACTAGAAGAGCTGGACCTGCTGTTCTCCAACTACGGCCAGATCCAAAACATCGAAAAAGTGCCGTCGCGGGATCCAAATACACAAAGCGTGCTCATTAGCTATGAGACGCAAGAGCAAGTACAACAGTACGTAATCGACATGGTCTTTTATCTACTGTGTTTTTCAAAAGATCAAGAAAATTAGAAGATTTAAAAAATTCATAGCGCAGAGGTTGCTGTCTCACTTTTGCTTACTCTTTCTTCGCTACGAAGAATCGTGAAAATTCTTTCCTACTGCATGTATACATTCGTATTTGGAATTTACATTAGGACTTTAGGAATTCACGAATGAACACTCATAACGTCTGTTTGTTTCAATCCATCCAGGATTGACTACTTAATTTACTTCATTTAGCAAAGACACTCATTGATCTTGTTATTTGCAGGGCTGTGAACCAGTTAAATGGCTACGATTTCGAGGGCAATCCGCTGAAAGTGGAGATGTCCTCGGCGGAGAGCCGACGCAGAGGCCGCAGCCAACGCAGCGGCGGCGTGGCTTTCGCCGGACTGCCGGGTTCCGGTCGCCAGACGGATTTCCCGCTGCGTATTCTCGTCCAATCCGACATGGTGGGTGCGATAATCGGCCGACAAGGTTCCACCATACGGCAGATCACGCAGATGACGCGCGCCCGGGTCGACGTGCATCGTAAGGATAACGTTGGCTCTCTGGAGAAAGCTATAACTATCTACGGCAATCCCGAGAACTGCACCAATGCTTGCAAGAAGATCCTGGAAGTCATGCAACAGGAGGCCAACAATACGAACAAGGGGTACGAGTTGGTTTTGGCTTTTTTGAATCTTCGAATTCTAAATGGAATCATAATAATCGTAATTGCTGGTCGAGTAAATGTATATTAAATAATATAGACTATATTTTTATATATTTTATGTTAAATATAAATCTATTTTAATATACTGTTATGACTTTCTAATAACATATACTGTTAATTCGGTTTCAGTACACTAATATTCTTGTAATCATATTATTTTAAATATGTAAACACAATTTAATATTGTTAATTTACATCACTTTACTGAATCATTGTTTTACCGTTAATTGAATAACGTTAATTACATTATATTATGTTACTTGTCGACAGTGAGATCACTCTGAAGATCCTCGCGCACAATAATCTCATCGGTCGAATCATCGGTAAAGGCGGTAACACGATCAAGAGAATCATGCAGGACACCGATACGAAGATCACTGTTAGCAGTATCAACGACATCAATAGCTTCAATCTCGAACGCATCATCACAGTTAAGGGATCGATCGACAACATGAGCAAAGCCGAGTCCATGATCTCCAGCAAGCTCCGTCAAAGCTACGAAAATGATCTGCAAGCTATGGCTGTGAGTTTTAGCGCATATTCACTCATTTTTTCTTGTACAATTAAATACAATTTTTCTTAGAAATCTCTTGTAAATTAAAAAAATATATAGGAAAAATATAAACGTGAAAGAAGTTATTAAAAAAAACAAACAGTATAAATGTACAAATACATTCACGTGAATGTATCACAAATACATTTTAGTGACTTGTAAGTGATCCTATTACATGAAAATCGAGTCTCGAAGGGTTCTACTTAAAAATTTTAGATTTAATATTTACTTATCAGAGATTAAAGTGGCAAGAGTAAATTTTTTCATCAAGCTTTCAGTTAATCTAGTTTGATTGTGTCAACCTCGTTGAGATCTGGCGCAAGTAAAATACATCGATTGCGTCAGAGATGTCGTTGCGCAACGCGACGAAGCTTCTAATCGATATGATGATTGTTCTCGCCAGCCCCAAAGCATGATGTTCCCCGGCCTGCACCCGATGGCCATGATGTCCACCGCCGGCATGGGCTACAGCTCCCGTGGTCCCGGCCTCTATGGTTCTGGACCCGCCCCATATCCCTACCAGAGCAGCCTGCCTACTCAACAGGGCGTCCCCGCCAGCGATACCCAGGAGACGACTTTCCTCTACATTCCCAACAACAGTGTCGGCGCCATCATCGGCACCAAAGGCTCCCATATCCGTAACATAATCAGGTTTTCCGGCGCGAGCGTAAAGATCGCTCCTCTTGAACAAGATAAGCCGGCTGAGCAACAGACTGAGAGGAAGGTCACCATCGTCGGCTCCCCGGAATCTCAGTGGAAGGTAAATACAATAACTCTTCCTGTTCCTCTTCTTGTTCCTTAATCTATTAAGCAAGAGCGAAATTTATAATTTTTTATTTTTTATAATTTCTTCAATTTTAAACACGTGAATATTTATATAGAGCTCTGTCAGATCTATTTGTTATAACATATATTTAAAATAAACACATTTTAAATATATGAGCTAAAACCGACTTTTTGCTAATAATACTATAATAGTGTCTGAAGTCTGTTTTACTGTCCATATAATGTCGATGTCATATTGGCAGATAGGTATCGTGTCGATCTACCGTTGTAAAGATCCCGGGTTCGAATCCAGTTGCTGACGAGAAAAATTGTATAGAATCTTAAAGTTCGTAAAAGTGTTCGCGGTTACCCTGTTGTATTTTGGGTGGATGTTGCCTTCTATGCATCAACTTGAATCAGCAGGAATATTAAAGAAAAGGGCCCCGTACCGATCTCGTCAAATGAAATATGCGAGAATCGGCCCCGTTTGACCCTTCGATATCTTTTTTTTCTTTTCGTTTGATATTAATTCGCTTCTGAATTTTCTTCAAGATAACGAAGGGATTTAATTTTTATATTTTTACATTTTTAAAAATAATAATTTAAATGTCAAGTTCTATTTTGCAACGCAATACAATTTTATTGCATTTTTTATTATTTTTACATTATCATTTTTACAAAAATTGCGATTTCAGGCCCAGTATTTGATCTTTGAGAAGATGCGGGAAGAGGGATACGTCGCCGGTACCGAAGATGTTAGACTGACCATCGAAATCCTCGTGCCCAGTACTCAAGTCGGCCGAATTATTGGCAAAGGTGGTCAAAACGTGAGGGAATTACAGCGCGTGACTGGTAGCGTTATTAAATTGTCAGAACAGCAAGCGACTCCTCCTTCAGCAGAAGAGGAAACAACTGTCCATATAATCGGTCCCTTCTTCTCTGTTCAGGTAAGGAAACTGATTTTTTATATAAATTTTAATAAATAAATAAAAAAATATTAGATATCTGTTACGAAATATATAAATCTTCTTCTATCTTATCTCGTATTCTTATATCAATAATTAAGTACGATAATTATTTTTTCTTAAATCCATTAAAAGAAATAACAAGTTATTAACGCATTAGAAAAGATGTAAAATGTGAGATTTAAAATAATGATGGATATAAATACTTTCTGTTTTCTTAGTCGGCACAGAGAAGAATCCGCGCGATGGTATTGCAATCAGGTGCACCGGGTGGAACCGGTGGTGCTGCACGCGCCGGTCGCGGTAGCAGCCAAGAAGGTACCTCCCGTTCTAAAAGAGATGGCAGCGCCACTTCCCAGGGCGGCACGACGTCGCAGCCCAGTTCCCAACAGCAGTCTGTCGGCTCGCCATCGAGCCAACAACAGCAGCAGCAGCAACAGCCGCAGCCACCATCATCGCCGCAGTAACATTAACATCGATGACACCGACCTGACGCGGACCGACGCCACAAACGCCCATCCGCTTCATTCGCCGGAGTGGCCTCGTCGTCGCTTTGACATTCTCTCTCATCGAGAGGCTGAGCTTATCGCGATCTCCTCCTCTCGCGGGGCGCGCGCGACCCTCCCTGATGAGGGAGGGCTTCAAACGAGGGTGCGCGACGCGCAGATCGCGACGGGAAGACGCCCGGCAATGTTCTGAGAATTAACTCGACTCGAGATCCAACAACTAGGTTCGCGGACTTTCGCACTCAGTGAGGTAGTAACAATTCCCGTTATCAGTTTTATAAATGATTCACGAGTCCTAACTTGACGAATCAACGCGGGAATTCTAGAAGAGTGCTCGGCGAGTCCACAATTCGGCGAGTTAATTCTGAGAATTCGAACGAAGAATTGTTATTCCAAAGATTCTAATTCCAAGACTCGATTGTTGTGAGTCAATCTGAAGAGTCAACGAGGCCCTGGGCCCTCCGTTCGATTCGACACGGGCGCGTTCATCGTGATCGATGTTAATCACGTGCGAATGATTAATTTAAAGTCTTAAGTGTCCTTTTTGACAATGGGGATACACATATTGTAATTAATCGCATTGGTATTCGGTTGAAAAAACGATTGCGATTCTTGAATTACAACTTAAACGCAAAGCTCGGCAATGGTAGGCGAAGCAAAGGCGAAACTGCAATCGATCGGAGGAGCACCGAACATATGTTATCGAATCTGGCTTTGTCCAGGTAGACACTGCCCATACGCGATCGCTGACTCTCACGACGAACTCCCATCCTCGTTGACGAGGATCGTGGCGTTTTCCCCTTTGCTCTACGCGTCGCGCCTGCGTCCCGCGCGCACACCCCCGCGATAGCGATGAAGCGACAACACACAGCCGCGCACGACCCAATTTCGCAGCGCTAACGAAACCACCGCCGCCGATGAAATAGGACACTTCGACGAGAAACAAACTGATTTAAAAAAAAAATAGAAAAAAAGAAAAACACACACAACCTTATTACCTCATTGCATTACGGTTAAAGATTTAATACGATAAAGGAAAGTGAAACGCGCGGGAGAAGCGATAAACCGATTAACCTAAAAAAAAGAAAAAGTCTATCTAATATTAAAGTTATTAATAATATACAGAGAAGTTAAGTGACAATTACATATTATGTTATATCTGTTACTACTACTGCAACTATTACTATTATTACTACCTACTACCTACCTAATACTATTATCGCTATATACTATTTACTTACTTCTTACTAGTACTACAGGAGGAAAGCGGTTTTTCTTAAAAAAAAAAAAAAAGAAGAAAGCAACAAAAAACACAGATTAGGTACAGTTCTTTTATACACACAATTCAGAGACGTTGAATAATAATATACGAGACTTAAATAATACCGAGACCGTGTATCGCGGAACGGCGATCCGTTGATGGTTGTAGACATAAGCCAGGATGTCTCAGGAGGAGAAGAGAATAGAAGCGACCCCCGCGCCCCAATCCGCCCCTCCTCGCACGTAATACCAAAGAAGCGATTATGAGTTATTTCGTATTGAGTTATTTCGTAGTGAAGTGAAATGCGTCGTGTACGCTCTATTCGCCTCAAGTTCCTCATCAAGAGCCACGAAAGGAAGAGAAAGAAAGAAGAAAGAGGGATCAGATACGAGAGAGGAAACCGACGAGTGATCATCAGACGTCGAAAACAACGTCGACGAGACATCGAGTCGCTGATACGAGTGATTGATGAAGAAGAAAGAAGGAAGAACGAGAAAAGGGAGAAAGGAGATGAAAGTCCGATCGTGTAATACTATATTGATATGACATGAATACCATTTTTTTGCCATGTTTTCAAAAAACGTCTCTCAAACATACGGAGAGAATGAAAAAGCGACTAGTCGGTACGCAACGAAGAACAGCGAGTGAGAGAGAAAGAAAGAGATAAAGATAGAGAAATACAAGGGAAGCAAAAGAGAGACAGCGAAGGAGGGGACACAAGGGACAAAAAGTGAACAGACAAAACTTTTCAGGGATTTTTACTTTTACCATGAATGTAATAATGTGTGAGTGTGCGTGTGTTGAATAATAATTATTAATTAATAAGTAATTTGATTACTGATTAGAGAAGTTAACGGCGAGGAAAGGTGATGGAAAGAGTAAGGAAGAATCAGTCTTAACGCGAGATAGGCAAGAGATGGAAGAGAAGAAAAGGAAAGTAGAGGGACGATATGAGAGAGCGAGATGTCGCGACATTTGATCGCGACATTTACTCTCGCCGCGGATGGTGTGTCGCCGAGACGAGCGTCGAGACGGAGCCTCTGCGAGGCGTCTCCCGACGAGCCTGCGAACCCCGTAATTTTTGCAAATTATAGCTGTTAGAGGCGCGCAGGATCCGGCCGGGGCGCGGAGAACCGCGGAGCGCAATAATCTCGATCTCGCATCGATATCGCGACTCGCAACGCGTATAATCGGCCATTATTATCCTGTTGCACAGAATCAAGAGATTCCTTTCGGAAACGAGGATAAACTGAGGATAATGCGAAGACGTTCGGCGAGGCGAAACGAAAGGAAAAAAAAAAACCGAGACACAATCTCGCGTTTTCCAACAGTGATGTTACATTATTAAAAACAACCTCAAGCCTTGCTCTAGCTCGATATATTAATGACCGAGTACGCGTCACAGTCGCTGTATCGAGTTCTGAAGACATTCCTAAGTGATGCTTTTAGAGCGATATGGGGAAGAGAAAGAGAAAGAGACAGAGAGGAAAAATGAGAGAGAGGTTCCAGACGATCGATCGCGCGGCAGGTAGATGAGGCGGAGACAGCAAGACGGGGAACGTGATGAATCAAATCAGATTCGGAATTGAGAACACCGACCCTGCAGAGCGGTCGTTAAGCATAACCAAGGAAATTCTACAAATACAACGGACTAATCAATCATGGCGCACGGTTTCGCGCCGATCAGAGCTCGATCGTTCTCAAATATTCGCACAAACTTGACGAGAACGACCGATTTTATTCTCTTTCATGAATATCTGAATCGTTAATTACCTCTCGAATTTATCCAGCAGAAATGCGAGACTTACTTTTCATGATTGATCGGTGATTATCGTGTTCATCGGCGCGCAACCGGGGCGACACCGGTATCAGCATGTGAATCTCCATCGGAGGTTCACGTCTGGCGACATGACGAGCCTCACAGGCTCGTTGATTTACACTCTCGGCGTTCGGTATGCGTTTAGTACAAAGATACATGAGGTTAAGAATAAATAAGATAATCAAGAATTAAAGGGGACACCGAAAGATAAAAGAAGATGTAATGTCTTTATTCCTTTTCTTTATTTTTTTTTTTGAAAAAGCTGAAAATTTAAACTCCAGAGTATGTGAATATTATTTCACATTAATTGATGAAGAATAAAATACTTTGCAAGAGAGGAAAACACGCTTTATCGCGTATTTTTTTTTATGTTAATCATTAAATAATGATTGACTAATCTATATTTTTCGAGTCGATAACATTTGTTCTCAAAACCATAAAGATATTAGTTAACTTTCATTTATATAATTTTTGTTTTATCTAGACTTTAAATTTAGAGGAAAATCTTTCTTTAATATAAAAAAGTGATTTCCGTAAATATTGATATTGATCGCTAACGATAATATTTATACATAAAGTTCTTTGTCTTGCTAAATACAGTGAGAAGGTAAAAATCAAAGTTAAAATCTCAAAATTTAAACTTAATAATTAAACCGCGAAAAAATTTGTTCGCGCATACTCTAGAAATTCAATTCTCGGCTTTTTCCGAAAAAAAATCAAGGACTGATTAATTTTATGATATTATGTCTTTTTCAACTCTGTCTCTTTTGTTGAAAAGAAAAATCTTGAAATCTTATTTCGATTTTTAACCTCGATCAACTTTAACTCGTGTTTATAAAAGTGGATATATAGAAGCTCGTAGACTCGATTGAATGTTTATCCCTGTTTCTAGTTCTAAAGCTTAGATGAAACAAAAATCTTATATAAATGGAGATTAAATATAATCGACATTTTGTTGAATGTAAAAACTAAACGGCTCGAAAGAAGTGAGGATCAGGTAGATCACATATCTAACGCCAGATGGGCGACGAGAATACGAGTCTTCTTCTTTTCTGCTGCATCGCGCAAGAATGAAGCGCTGAATTAGCACACGAGTAAAGAAGAACAGAGAAAATGATAAAAAATCGAAAATAGAATGAAAGAGGAAAACGAGTCTGAAAACGTAGATTTATTTTTGATACATTGTTGGGGAGACTCCAAGTGAATCTTTCTTTTTCAATTTTTTTTGTTAGATGTTTTTAATAACTTAATGAATTTTTACGATATTAAGAGAAAATAGAGAGGGAGAGAGAGAGAGAGAGAGAGAGAGTTTTTTTAATGTAAGATAAGAAAAGGGGAGAGAGAGAGAGAGAGAGAGAGAGAGAGAGAGAGAGGAGTGGCAAAATGAAATGATTTTAGCAGGAAAACGGATAAATTAACGTTATAGAGAGAGGGGGAAACAGAGAGAGAGAGAGAGAGAGAGAGAGAGAGAGAGAGAGAGAGAGAGAGAGAGGATTATAAGAGTTAATCGGGGGGGATGAGGCGCGCAGCTTTTTGCGCTGTGCTCGCTCGCTTTTAGGAGGGGGGGAGGGGAAGATTATGACGTGAAGGAGATTTTTTAGTGGGATATATAAATTTGTATATTATATTTAATAATATATTTCGAAGAAGCGACGGTCGCGGGTCTGCTCGGCGAGGCCGTCGCGCGTCGGCGAGACGGGGCTCGGTCCAGGAACCTCGCAGTTTTATGCGAGGGACCCCGCTCGCGTCGTATCACCGTAAAGGTACAGTACCCTCGCCCAGACCTGTGCCCGAGCAGTTATTTATCAAGCGTAAATATTTAAATGATGAAAGATGGAGAGGGAAGTAGTGAGAGAGAGAGGGGGAGAGATTTGTATTAAAGCTTGTAAAGAAGAAAAAAAAGTTGCGAAACGGAAGGAAGTGCCAAGGGACAAGAGAGAAATAACGTTCGCACAGCATGCAAAACTAGTACAACACAGCAATAGATTGCCGAATAGAATAGAATGCAACGATAACAGAGGCAAAAAATACAAAGAGAACAATTACAGTGAAGCGCAGGTAATGAGCAAAAGGAAAGATAACAGAATGGGAGATAGCAAATACGGAATCAAGCCCTCGTTTATTCTCACGGTCGACGAATCATTTACGCTACTTCGAGACTAATGTCATATCACGCGTCATCTTTTTGATTTCCTTTTTGGCCCATACTTTCAAAATTTTGATAAAGGGAGACAGTGACCGGACACCTGAGAGAAGAAGAATTAAGCACGACGCGAAGCGAGACACGCGAATCGCTCCTATCACAGAGATCCGTCGTCGCCAAGGAGAGGTTCCTGATGGACATATTATATTATATATACTCGGTCAGGACTTCGTCGAGTCGGCTTTCGATAGGTACCATCGCCCACCCGCCCTCTTTTGGAATATCTCTTTCTAAATTGAGCGAACGAAGCTTTTGCTCCGGGAAAAAACGCGGCGTCCGATATTTCAACGAGAGAAACAGAATTTATTTTTCTTGGAAAAATCATATCGCCGGTCTCTGGCGCGCGTAAAGAAACATTTGGAATATATTGCCTCAAAATTTTTTAAAAGTTTAGGTATAATATACATAGTGTTTATACGAAATTTGTACAAAATTATAAATTTGCAAAATTGAAAACGTTAATCGCTGCGTTCTTCCCGCGGATAGATCTATATGCCCCCGCACGGAAACTCACACCTTTCACTCGTTTATTGGGTCTTTCAGTTTGAATATTTTTGTTGCGACGAATTTTTAGAAAAAATTGAGGTTAAAAAATTGGAAGAAAAGAATGAAAATTAAAAAGAAGATGAAACTTGTAATTTTCAAAAGATAATAAAAGCCAAGCCTCTTTGATCAGGAAAAACAAGAAGTGAACATTATTCGGCCGATTCCTCAAGCATTCAAAAAACGCTAAGATAAAAAAAGAAGGACAAAGGGAAAGAGAAGAGAAAAAGAGAGACAACTTGCTCGCACGCTCGAGAGAAAGAAAGAGAATGTACAAATCAAACAAAATTACAAACAATGATTGAATAGATGAAATTATTAATATAATAATAACTTAAAAAAGAAAGAAAATTTTTAACGTTATAAATTATTACGTGCGCCAATGAGGCGCGCGAAAAGTTAGAGGCGAAGAATATAACTTAATCTACTGGTAGAGATATCGACAAACAAATGTACAAAATCGATTTATTGCTAAATGTTAGTATTCTAGAGTATTTTACTGTCGAAGATCGCGTAAAAAGTGAAGATTATACTAAGCTCGGCTAAGATTGTACTATTCCGGCAGATTAAGCTTAAAAATAGGAAGTTCGAGCGAAAAAAAGTAAAATTTAATTGTCATTCCGCCGAAAAAGAAGACATAAATAATGTCATCGTTATATGAAAAAACAATAATCAGGAGAATCAATTAGTAAAAAAATAAGACAACACTTCAACTATCATGCAAACGAAAAATAATAAGTATAGTATCCGTTTTTCTTTGTACGAACGCGCGTTCTAACATCGTCAATGTGTCTCTAATGACTCTCGCACAACGCAGTTTTATCCGATCTTCCGTCACGTTCTTTCATTAGACGCAATTTTGTATCGTTACCGATAAAGAATTGACGTCTTTCACGGGACATCGCCGAACATTCTTCAATAAGTTCAACAGAACTCGTACAAACGCGTGAACAATAATTAACACACGCATCGTATCACTTACGAGAGTGAAATTGCAAAAGAACAAAAAGTGCACAGACGGCAGACTCTCAGGCGAACACGCCTACGAGCGAGAAGAGGTATCTAAAAAAAAAAAAGGAAGAAAATAAAGAGAGCGTCTAACGCGTAACAGCTACGCGATTCGCAGTATATATCGGACTTTCCATGAAGATACACTCAGATAAGAGAGAGACAGGAAGAAAGAGTCAGACGAACGAGATGCTCAAACTAGGTGCTCTCGTTTTCATTGATCGATCATTCGCAATCCAGGACCAGTCATGAACGCAGCACAATTCTCTGCGGACGGCATCCAAATGCGTCCTTCAAAGCCAAATGCCAGCGCCATACAACAGGAGTTCCTCCAGGAGATATAGGAGTTAAAGCTCTTCTTTCTTATCACTGATAGTGAACATCGAGAGGAATAATAAAGCCATATATAATATTGGAGTGAAACGGCATTTGATCCGATAAAAGTCGAGTAGCGATCAAATCCTTCGCGAAGACCTTCTAAGACAAATGGAGACAGTTGAAATTTCGATATCCCTCGATTTCGATACAGCGAAATTGCTGTAGGAGGAACATCCTGTATACCACAGTAGCGCATAGCACATCCGGAAATAGAAAGGAGAGAGAAATGAAGCAACGTTTCTCTCGACCAACATTATTCCGTATTACTCTCTCCACCGACATTACTCACGACTCACCGACAAGATATATTGATATATAAAAAATATATATATATATATATATGTTTACATATAGGTACATGTATTCCGGCATGCAGAATCCGGACGATCGATCCCGCATCACCGCGATCGCGTTCGCGAGCAACGTTTAGAGAAAGACAACTCGCGTCCAGGGTCGCGCATCCGCGGCCCGTTTGGAATTCAAACAGATTGCAGGATACTTGTCTTTAATTAATAATAGCGACTAATAAGTAATAATAGCGATAAGAAGTGATTTAAACCGATTTTTAATATTAAATACGCGTCACGTGCTTCTCGCTCAAAAATGAGACGAGAATCGCGTTCACGTTTAAGTTTGGGGGGTGATTGACAAAAGCAAAAGTAAAACAGAGATGGCAGATTGCAGTCAGGAGAGGTAGATTATTTTGGGCTTTAGTATTAGGGTTTCGATAGAGATTTGGAGTAAGTGCGATTCGAGTGCAGGAAAACGGTGATAAGGCCGCCGAAAAAATTTCAAGGGGAATACAGTCGCTCTCTCTTTTCGGATTTATTCGCGAATCTCATTCGAGGAGGAGGAAAACTGTTTCGTTATGATATATATGTGTCTCTCGTTCCTCGACGGATTAACGATTATTTTCCGAAAATATACGCAGCGACCGGACATCGCGATTGGCACCTCGAAGCTATCTGGATAAATTGCAAATTAATATTTTACGAATTAATAATGATCGAATATTCTCTCGGAAATCCAACAATTATTGGAAATAACCGCGAAAATTGAATTGAATTAATAATAAAATATAAAGAATAGGAAAAAAAAGGAAACTACGATCCTTATCTTCTTTTCGACTTTTTATCCAGATATTTTGGGTGCGATCGGACGTCCACTTGGAAAAATCAAATGGGAGTGATTAGTACTTTCG